AATAATTTTGGATTGATTATTCATCATCACAATCATTATCATCATCATCATCAACATCGTCGTCATCATCATCATCATCACCTTGTTGTCTAAAGCTTAACGTTAACTAGAGTTTAAACTCCTTGGATAATTAAGATCTTGGCTGATGATGATGAAAATGATGAAGACGACGACGAAAATGAAAGGAAGAACAAGCGAATGAATAAAGATGACAAATTACATTTAAAAACGATTTTAAACTAACAAAAACATTGGTATCATTACTACTACTACCACTACCACTACTACTACATCATCACAATGGAATGAATGAATGCATGCATGCATGAATGAAGGAATAATTGAATGCATGAATGAAAAAGTGCATGATGGATGAATGAAAAACAACAACAATTACAACAGCAATGATGATGAGTAATGTAATTAACTTTAATTTTCGTAGCTAGAGCTTTCAGTTAATGTTAAAATAGAGACTTGTGAATGAATGAATGAACGAACGAACGAATGAACGAACCAACGAACAAACCAACGAACGAATGAATGAGTGAATGATTGAGTAAGAGTAAAAATGATGTATTAACGAAAAATAAAACAATTTATTGCATTAAAAAACGTCTAGGTATGCATTAAATTTAACTATGTACCAACCACTAATATTAGATCTTCTCAAAGTACATATAACTATACAACAAAGACTCTTGAACTATGGCACGCCACACATACGCGTACACACATATCACACACACACGCACACACACATGCACGCACACACGCACACACACGCGCGCACACACACTCAACAAAGTTACAACTAATCAGATCACATCCATCAAACAACAAACAGCCCAATTGACTCGACCGCAATGACATCCAACTTCATCATGATGACGACGACGATGATAATAATGCTGTTGATGACGATGTTGATAATGATGATAATAATGAGGACGATGACGATGATGACAATTATTAAGATGATCAATGATGATGGTGATAATTATATCAATTATAATGATGATGATGATGATCATGATGTGGATGAAGGCATTATGGTGATTTTAATATAAGAAAAAGATTGCCATTATCGTCATCATCGCCATCATCATCGTCGTCATCATCGCCCAACATATCAAATGACTTTTTTATCGCTGAACATCAGCACCCGGAAAATGAAGTATGGGAAAATTTAAAAAATTCCATCCAAGAGGAAAGAAAAAAAAAGATACGGTCGGTCCTCGTCCAATGAAAAACATTGACACACACAAAAAACAATAAAAGAAAAGTAGAAAAAAATAATAACAAAAAAACAAAATAAAAAAATCTTAGTTCTTTGTTCGTTTCGCCTGCCGTTTCATCTGTTGGTTCTTTGTTGCTAACACGTCTGCTTTCATGACGTCACGATCACGTGGTCATTTGTTGTACTTTTTTACGGTAGGCACGTGTGTGTGTGCGTGTCGCTGCTTGTGCGTGTGTGATAAGTGTGCGTGCGTGTGTGCGCGTGTGCGTGCGTGCGTGCGTGTGTGTTAGTTGCCGTTTTTGTATGAAGAAAAATTGTTTGGGAGTTATCATATAGATGGTCTGGCTTGTCTTTGCCTGCTGCGGTTTATGCGTTTCGAGCGTGTTTTTGCACATAGGAAGGCCAACACAGGAATGTGCAGTTACGTAACTCACCTTGCTGACGTAAATGTAAATAAATTAGTGAGTAAGCAAATGAGTGAGTGATAATATGTAAATAAATAATGTCTGTCTGTCTGTCTGTGTGTGTGATGTGGTGTGTGTGTGTGTGTGTGTGTGGTGTGTGTGTGAATATATAAGTATTTGTGTTATCAGAAATTCAGTAGCGTATCACGATTTTCTTTACAATTGAGTCTTACTTGATATAAAAATGTTTTGCTGTATGTGTGCTTTTCGAGAAATGTCAGCCTGAAGTTTTCATTCGTTTTTTTTATCGGAGTGTATCGGATTGTATCGAAATGTTTCGGTGTGTATCGGTTTGTATGTTTATGTACACACATGTATATTGACTGTGAATATATGTGATAAATGGTTAAGTTTTCAAACAAAAATTGTTTACGATCAACTTGTGTATGTTCATTCATTCACTGATTTATATGCATTATATAGAAAAATTAATCATATTTCTTGAATGAATTTTTTGTTGGTGAGGTCAAAGGTCGGGCCACCAAGAGGGAAGGAAACATTGGAGACACAACCACGTCACACACAAACAAGCTAATGCTATTTGGTAACATTTTTCCTGCTTCTCTATGTACATTTCACATGTGTGTATGCTTTTCCTGGCATTGTATACTACACAAGACTTCAAGATATTGCCTTTTAACATCTTCACACGACATTCTTTAAAACGCCAGCAGACCAGTTGAAAACGTACAAATGTGCTGTGTACATTCACACACATTCACATACACTCACACACACACTAACACACACACTAACTCACACTAACACACACTAACACACATTCACACACACTAACACACACTAACACACATTTACACACACTCACACACATTCACACACACACATTCGCACATATTTACACTTATTCACACACACTCACACACACACTCACACACATTCACACACACACATTCACACATATTTACACTTATTCACACACACTCACACACACACTCGCACACATTCATAAACACTCACACACATTCACACACATAAACGGAGAGAGATGTACGCTCAAAAATGTACACCATAAAACAAATTATGAACGTGCAAGCGAATAAATAAATAAAACAACATAAACACCTAGCAAGAAATATTTCTGAAGTACCAAATAAATTGAATAAATGTATGAATATATATAATATACACAAATAAAAAAAAACATACAAATCCAAAGATACAAACACGAACAAAAAAAGATACAAACACCACGTACAAACACATACAATCAAATACAAGTTCATACAAATCTATACAAACATATACAATATAACTAAACACAAAACGTACAGACATATACAAACGCACACAGATATTTAAAATCGTATACAAAACAAAACACAAAAATTATTTTCAACGTTTGAGCGAGGGTGATATCTTGCCAAAGAGATCATAAAAAAATAACAATTTTCTATTCGGTGGATAAAAAAAGATTTTGAAACCAAACGCAAACATTATGAAATTAAAAATAAACAAAACGAAGAAAAATGTTTGACTTATAAAAATGTAATATACGATGTGCCCCGAAAATTTTATTTAAGGTGTGAAAAAAGTAAAAATTGATATAAATCTAACAATTTTTCAGTTTTTCTCGACTGCTGCTGCTGCTGCAAACAATTATTTTGGCAATTCCTCATCTTATATTTTACTTCCTCTGAATGTTCCTCTGTCTTCTAAATTATTTTTTCTTGTCTCACTAAAATTGTTTCTTGGTTTTCCAAAACGAGAACTACGATGATGTTATGAAATTGTTTTTCTTTTCGGTTTCGTTAACAACAGTCATAAAGTTTGTGTTAATGAAGCACATTTTAATTAGTTGTTGTTGGTGAAAGTATCATTATAAAGAAAAAAAATTTTGCAGGAGAAATTTTTGCTGAAAGCTGTAAAAATTTTATGGGAATGCAAAATAAAAACATTAAACAACAAATTGACAAAGTTTAAATACAAAATTTTTGCGAATATTTTATTTTAAATAAAAACATCAAAAAAATCGAAACTATCACCATGTTTAGAAAATATTTTTGAATCAGAAAAAACGAAAAAGAAAAAGAAAAAAAGAAAAAATTTGAAAAGCACGACTTTGCTTGCCTCTAAGTGCGCCAGCATGTCGAGAGCGTGGAGGTCGCATGCTAAAAAGTTGAAAGTTCAAGAGTTCACACATTGATTGGTCTGTACGGCCGACGGCAAGTGATGCAATGTAAGTGTATGTATATTGGATTGAATTGACTTGAAGTATGCATGTATGTATGTATGTATATATGCATGTATGTATGTGTGTGCGTGTATGTGTGTGTGTGTGTGTTTTTGTGTGAGTGGATGTTTCTAACTGCAAGGTCAGATGTAACGTGTAAAAGTTGTTACTCGGTGGTGTGGTGGAGGATTGTGTGATGTGCGACCATTGAATGAATGCTGTCAGTCCGCTCGATGTCTCTTATTGACTGATGTAAGTGCATTGGGTGAACAATTTTCGTTTGATGATGAATGAATGGATGGATGGATCGATCGATAAATGACTGAATGGGTTATGAAATAGAAGAATGAATGAATTGAATGTTTGAATAAGCAAACGAACAAACGATTGAACAATCGAATAAATATAATAAAATTGACAAACATCAAACAAAACAACGAACGAACGAATCAAAAATATAAGTACGAAATATGAACGAACTAATGAACGAACAAACGAACGAACGAATAAACGAACGAACAAACGATTGAATGAAAGAATGAACAACAACTAAATGAACACTTGAAAAATGTTTAAAATTGATTGAAGATGAATGGAAGTGTGGAGGGGGAAATGAATTAGTAGTTAGTGGTTTGGGAGCAGGCCCGAGTAAGTGATTGATGTTCAGATGGTTAGATTAGTTTTAGAAATGACAAGCGTGCAACTTCACTTTATAAAATGTTCAACATACAAATTATTAATTGAATGCAAGCAGGCCATCTAGTCATAGATGGACGGATAGGTGGAAAAGTAAATGGACGAATGGACAATTGTGCAAATGGAAGTTAAAAATTGAAATAAAAACGATAAAACTTATGTGAAAAGTTAAATGGTTCTTGTAAGGGCTAATCCTATTCGAACAGCACCCAGCCGTCAAACTTAAATTTGTTCCATGACTAATTTATTTATTTTGATACGGTCTTATGTTTATGATGTAACTGATGTTATTTCGTTGGTTTCACACAAGAAATTTTATTAGACGCCTATCTCGTGACCCGTTTCAAATTAATAATTAACACTTCAGTTCTCTAAAGAGCGTGAACATTCAATAAACTTTGCAATGAGGTTCCTAACTCAACTGCAACTCATCTGTAAAAAGGTTATTTATTATCAGGTGTTTGATGTTGAGTGTTGGAGTTAGCCCACCATTAAGTCGAGACAAAAAGTTTGTCGCGTGCTCAGAAATTATAAAATAAGTGATAAAAATGTTAAAATTATTAAAAAAATATTGAAAATTCATTTAAAGTGAATCGTAAACATCATCAAGTTTGATGACGTCATTTTATAAATAGATGAACGTCCTTAAAAAAAGATTAATAACAATAATTTGGTGCTAAATTAGATTGCAGCAAAATTATTACGTATAATCGTTTAATTTATTTTAATTTTCTTAAATAAATTCTCAAAATTTGATACATTTTAACAAGAAATAATTAAATTTCAAATTATTTCTTTTTATAGAATGCCGCTGCTAGATTTGTTGGCCGGGTTCCCAAATTAAAGCAGCTAAAATGCGAAACGAATGACACTGTTTCCTCAAGTCAGAGAGAATCAGAGAGAGAGAGAGAGAGAGAGAGAGAGAGAGAGAGAGAGAGAGAGAGAGAGAGAGAGAGAATCTGATTTAAGACAGCTCTGATATTGAACGATTAAAAGATTAATAAATTAAAAAAGTAATAATTTAATTCCAACCAGTGACGTAGATTTCTCCAAAAGTTTCATTTATCGAGAACAATGCTGTAGAAGTTTTGTTGTTATTGTTTGGGGTTTTATTCAAGCTATTGGTTTTTTTATAATTGTTATTTTTACTAGCGTCTATAACGTTATTGTTATTATTATTTTGAGTGTTCCCATTAACGATAACATATTTAATTAGGGCATTGCGACCTAGATCTTGATCATTGGCTGAGAGTTGGATGACCATGGTGCCGAGAGGCGTGTCCTCTGAGATGGTGATCGTGTAGTGGGGTTGAGTGAATTGTGGCTGGTTGTCGTTGAAGTCAATTACGTTTATTGTTACCTGATTGGTTGGTTAGTTGAATATTTGATTGGTTGGATGGTTTGTTGGTTGGTTGGTTAGTTGAATATTTGATTGGTTGGTTGGTTGGTTAGTTGAATATTTGATTGGTTAGTTGAATATTTGGTTGGTTGGTTGGTTAGTTGAATATTTAATTGGTTGGCTAAATATTTGATTGATTGGTTGAATATTTGATTGGTTGGTTGGTTGGATATTCGATTGATTGGTTACTTCTTTAAATATTCTTATAAATTGTTTGTTTCTATTGAATTGTTTGATTTAATAATCGGATGAAATTTATTTGACCATTGTAATTTTTTTATTCTGCTTTCAAGAAAGTGAGCAGATGACTTCGGAGCATTCAGCATTCGAACCATGTCGGCGTGCATTACAAAGACGCGAGGCAGTGCAATCCTACCATCTGAGCTAACTAATCAACCAATAAAATATAAACAGAAAAAAAACACAACCAATAAAAATCGAGAACAATTCAATCGAATAACGACGACTCACATCAAGTGAGCCAGACTTCGGGGGTTGACCTGCGTCGTACGCGATGACCTTGAACTTATGTTGACCTCTCACTTCCCTGTCCAGTGGCTTGCTCAAAATCAACCGCAAGTCTATCGAGTTGTCTAACTTTTCAGTTATCCTTAACCGGAAATGTCTGCCGGAAGTCAATTCGATGATGATGATGACGATGGTGATGATGATATGATGCTAGTTGTCATGGTGATGACGATGATAGTGATGGTAGTCAAGAGAGTGAAGTTGGTGATAGTTGCTGATTGAATGATTGATTGACTGATGTAGAATAATATATTAATTTATTTTTGATACTAAAAAATACTGAATATATATGCATGCTTGAACATTTGCACCAATCCAGTTTAATGACGCAAGCAATCTGACACTAAACGAGACAACTTTCCTCATTTTAATCTACTTTTTCAATTTTTTACTCAACATCCAATCATCATTTAGTCTATTTTTGTCGTTGTTGTCGTTTTTGTCGTTGCCTATTTTTATACACTCACTTTCTAATCATTCATTTACCAATCCATCCAGTCTATCTATTCATTCATTCATTCGTTCATTCATTCATTCATTCATTCATTCATTCATTCATTCATTCATTCATTCACCCACCATCCCTTAACTACGACCCACCCGTCGTCTCCCTCGATGACGTATTTTTGTACAGAGTAGTCGGCGTCAAGGTCAGTGGCCGTGGTGAGGGGCAGCCATGCCTGCCCTACTTCGCTCATCTCTGACATGTCCATCACAACGAAGTCGGGTTGAAACTCTGGTGCGTTGTCATTAATGTCCTCTATTTCTATCGACACCTACATGTGTGTGTGTGTGTGCGTGTATGTGTGTGTGTGTTTGCGCGTGTGCGTGTTTGTATCGTTTGTATGTTTGTAAATTTTTATTTTAAATCTTATAAATAGGTGTGGTTGTCTTCGTTTTTGTGTGTGTGTCTACCTATATTTGTAAGTGTGTGTATATTTTTGTATGTGTGTGTGTGTGTTTGTTTGTGCGCGCGCGTGCGTGTGTGTGTGTGTGTAAATGCCTGGTGTATTGAGGTGTTTAAACATTATGCAGTTATACGTTTGTTCATTGTTAAAGCTGACTCAACACGAAGTATTTGTGTTGTGTGTATGTAGTAGTATGTAGTAGTATGTACGTATGTATGTATGTATGTTGTTGTTGTTGCTCCGCGTAACCATAATTAAAATTAAAGTAGTAGAGTTAATCTGTCTAATAATAATAATGAGAATAAAAATTATAATTATTATTATTATCTTAATCATAATAAAAGGAATAATAATAAAGTAATTAATTTATATACTTTGATGATGGTGAAGTACATCATAGGCGTAATGGCGACGTCAAGTTTGAAGGCACATATGAGTGAGTGTTGCTGGGGCGGTGTTGATCGGGTGTGCTTTATGTTGCTCTGTGTTGTTGTTTTGTTGTTGATGTTGTTGATGTTGTTGTTGCTGGTGTTGTTGTTGTTGTTGATGTTGTTGTTGTTAATGTTGTTGTTAATGTTGTTAGCAGTGGTGTTACTGCCGCTGCTGCTGTTGTTGTTGTTATTAATGACGTTGTTGATAAAGTTGTTGTTGTTGTTGATAGTATTGACGTTGTAATTGATGTTTTCGCTAATGTTGTTGTCTAGAATGCTGTTATCGGTGACGTTGGCATTAATATTTGTTGATGTCGTTGTTGTTGTTGATGTTGTTGTTTTGTTATTTCCATCGGCGTTGATGAGGTTGTTGGTTTCGTTAATGTTATTTTTGTTGATGTTTTTAAATTTAGAGTCGTGGCTTTTGACTGCGTGGCTGTCTTTGCTATTGTTTTTTATATGAAATTTCTTTATAATAAAGTCGTTGTTGAAAGAACTTTTGTTATCGTTGTCGTTGTTATTGTTGTAATTGTTACTGTCGTTAATGTTATTTATGTTGTTATTATTATTATTATTATTATGATTTTTTATTATTATTATTATTGTTATTAATACTTTTATTTTTATTATTATTGTTATTATTATTGTTGTTGTTGTTATTATTATTATTAATATTATTATTAATGACGTTGTTGTTTTTATTATTGTTATTTTGAGTGATAACAATGATGTCATTGTCGATTTTATTGTTGTTGGTTAATTTTATTTCTTCGTTGTTGCTAGTTGGATTAGCTATAACTTGATTTCTTTTACTATTACTACTGCTACTACTATTACTGCTACTACTACTACTACTACTACTACTACTACTACTGCTACTACTACTACAGCTACTACTACTACTACTACTACTAGTAGTAGTAGTAATAGTAGTAGTAGTAGTAGTAGTAGTATTAGTAGTAGTACTACTACTAGTACTACTACTACTACTAATATAAAAATTATTAATATTATCACTAATATTATTTTCGCTGTTGATTTTGTCGCTGTAATTACTACCAACAGTTGTGGAAGTAGTTGTAGTAGTAGCTGAAGTAGTAGCAGCAGCAGTAGTAGCAGCAGGAGTTGTAGCAGTAGTAGTAATAAAAATAGTATTAATATTGTTCTTTATGGTGTTAATAGTATGGCTACTTAAGGTATTTGTGATGATATCAACAGTACTAAAACCGTGAATAAATCGACCGGTATGCCAAAACGGATTAATGAATTTGTTGTTGTTGTTGTTGTTCATGTCATGTTTAATGCTATTATTAATATTATTATTGCTGTTGTTGTTGTTGTTCATGTCATGTTTAATGCTATTATTATTATTGCTGTTGTTGTTGTTTTTTTTATTCTTGTTATTATTACCGATAGTTTTTGGAATTTTGTCATTGGTTTTGTTGATATTGATAATGTTTTTGCTGTTGGTTATGTTGTCGTTGTTGTTGGTCTTGTTTTTAATGTCATAATTACTGTTGTTGTTGTTGTTGTTGTCATTGTTGTTGTCGTTGATGACGTCATTAATATAAACATTGTCGTGTTTGGAGTTGAATATTTTGTTGCTGGTATGTTGAAACGTAGAGGGAGTCATGATGTCGTCATCTTTAGAGGTGTGGTTGAGTTTGTTAATCTTTACCCTATCAATGTGATTGTTGTTGTTGTTGATGTTGTCGATGTTGTTGATGGAGGTGTTGTTGTTAGTGAGGTTAGTAGAATTATTAATAACAATGCTGTTAATATTATTACTGTCGGTAATGTTATTATTATTGTTGTTACTATTATTTAAGTTGTTGTTATTGTTGTCGGGGTTGTTGATGTCACGAATGACGTAGTTGTTGTAACCGTTTGAATGTTTAGATCGTTTGATATGTTTCCTTATGTGATTGCTTGATGATTTATGAAATGCTTCTTTCGTTTTATTGCCGCTGCTGTTGTTGTCGTTGTTGTTATTGTTGTTGCTGTCTTTGTTACCGATGTAATTGTTGTTGTTGTTTTTAATGTAATTGATGTTGCTGTTTTCAAACTCAATGTTTAAATCAAAAAAGTATCCTTCCAATGATAAATTATTTTTGTTTGTTTGTGTCAAATTTTCATTGGGTGAGATAGATTTTGCTACAGTTATTGTCATTTTAATTGATTTTGTTGTTATTGTTGATGTTGTTGTTGTTGTTGCTGTTAATATTGTTTTTGTTGATGTTGTTGAACCAAAAGTACTTGACATAATTGTGTTGAAATGTGTAGATAAAATTTTTGTTCGAAATTGGCTTTTTTGCAATGTCAAAATTCTTCCGTAAGCTGGCAACCAATTATTTTCTGATGGTGTTTGTTTGTTTGTCGGTTTGCGTATTAATGTGGAGTTAGTAAAACTGTCTGTAATTTCTTCATCACATTGTTGTTGGTGTGGGTGTTGTAGTTGCTGTTGTTGCTGCTGCTGCATTATTTTACTGTTAAAATGTTTTTGTTGACGGCGAAGAAAAAGTTGATGTTGATGTAGCAATTGTTCGTGGATAGATTGTTGCAGTTGTTGTTGAAGTTGTTGTCGTTGTTGCTGCTGCTGGTAAAATGCTTGTTGCAGTTGCTGTCGATGTAGTTGGCACGGTAGTTGTTGTTGTGTTTTTAATCGTCTAAGTAACAGGTTTGCCGTTTTTAGTTGACAGTTTTTGGTTTGTTGATGTATATGTTGTTGTTGTTGGTGATGATGATGGTGGTGGTGCTGTTGTAGTTTGCTTGCATGATGATGTTGTTGTTGTTGCTGCTGCTGTAGTTGTTGTTGTTGAGGATGATGTTGTTGATGATGTTGTTGTTGTTGCTGCTGCTGTAGTTGCTGCTGCTGCTGTTGTTGTTGATGTTGTTGTTGTTGATGTTGTTGTTGTTGCTGCTGTTGTTTTTGAGGATGATGTTGTTGTTGATGATGTTGTTGTTGTTGCTGCTGCTGCTGTTGCTGCTGCTGCTGTTGCTGCTGTTGTTGCGGATGATGTTGTTGTTGCTGTTGTTGTTGCGGATGTTGTTGATGCCTTTTCTTTCTTTGATGCATTTGTATGTTGCATACTTTCTCTCTATCCAACCTTTCGGTTATGATCATAGTTCCCGTGTCCTCATCTATCTTCAGCCATGTCGGTTGCTGGTTCAGGAATTTGTATTTCAAATTCGATTTGGCGCCGTATCTTTGAGGTTTTTGAAATGAAAAAGAAAAAATTTAATAATACAAATTAAATAGTTTTTTTTGATTTATTGGTTTAATTGTTTAATTGAAAAATATATCAAATGTAAAGAATTATAGATTGTAATATTAATGTCGTTCATTCAACTGATTTTTCTTGAAAAATTTTTTTCTCAATATTTCAGCTAGTTGAAAAAATTATTATTATTATTGTTATTAATTAAATAATTATTATTATTATTTATATTATTATTATTGCTATTATTAAATTATTTTTCAAATTAAAACATACTTTTTATATATAAAAATGGAAATAACAAAAAAAAAATCAATTATTTAATTTTAATTGTAAAAAAAAACAACAACAAAGAAATAATATTCCTTGACCTCTTGTAAGCATCACCAACAGTACCGATCACATGGCCAACCTTCACCTCCTCTTTCACCGAGTACCGAAGCTTCTTTTCTATTTGACACATCACTAACGATGACGTCATCATCAGAAACATCAAAAGTAGAGACCGGAAGTTCTTCTTGTAGATGTTGCAATTGTTGTTCTTGTTGTTGCCGCAACTGATGTTGTTGTTGTTGTTGTTGTAACGGTTGCTGCTATGGTGATGTTGGTCTTGCCGATGCATTGCAATCTAAGTTTGTAATGTATATTTGTATGTGTTGTATGTGTGTTTGTGTGTGTGTTTGTTTGTGTATACATGTTTGTATATATATTTGTACATGTGTAATGTGTGTTGGTTTGTGCGTCTGTATGTGTTCATTTGTGTAATTTAATTTTTAGTAAAAATTTTCATTGCAGTTTTAGGACAAGTGTATTATTTTCTAATAAAAACAGTTGAACGAAGATTAAAAATTTTCATTAAAAATCCTAAAACGTTATTAACATTCCCTCATTTTTCTTGAAACAAAAACTCATCTTAAAGTCAATCAATCAATCAACCAATCAATCAACCAATCAATCATTCAACGCAACAACATATCATTAATGAGAACGAAGATTTGAAGCAATAGTAAAAAAAACCCCAAAACAAAAACGAAACAAAATTAAATCTGCCTAACAAAGATAACACAACAACATACATAAAAGTAATAAAAAATGCAACAACAACAACAACAATAAATGACAATAACAAAAACAACATGGCGGCTGTGACGTCATCATTAACGAGAACATCGATCGTGCACGAAATTAGTAAACATCGTCCCGGCCATGATGACAGACCTATCAGAAACTCAGTAGAATAAAAAAAAATGTAAGCGCTACATAAATAATGGCCTGTGACGTCATTCGATCCGCCTGACCACTTCCGGTAAAATTAGAAATGTGAGTTTGTCACGTGACGTTAGCGGCGGTCAAAAAAACAAATTGTGAAAATATAGTAGTAAACTATTATTAATAAACAAATAAATAAATAATTATACCTGTATAAACTACAAACACACACGGACACACAGATAGAGAGAAAAACACACAAACAGACTGACACACTGGTACACACACACACACACACACGCACACACACACACACACACATACACACATTACGTCCATATTTAAATTAATTCAGAATTTAGGAGCCGACATTTGTCAGCGTAAATTTAAGTGGGGATTTTATTAACGCGCCTTCTCCATTGCTAATACCCGTTCGTGCGGTCATCATTATGTCCGTCGTGTTGATGAGGAGGGTGATGATGATAATGTTGATGATGACGACGATGATGATGATGACGACGATGAGGATGATGATAATGACGACTACAATCTAAGATGATGATGATGATGATGATGATGATGATGATGATGATGACGATGACGAC